TCTGAGAAAAAATGAAAGGTTATGGAACCATGAAGAATATTTCTATACTACTGAATGCATTAGGACAGGAAGGCAGGAGGAACCTGCATAAAGACTTGCCAAGGAATCCCTTAATACTCCAGTAAAGAAGATTGTGATTTGATTTCTCTCTTGGGTATGCAGTCCCAATCCTTAACTAACAGCACTTGCACGTGGTGAAATGTTTGTGTTGCTGCAAGGAGGGTGCTGACCTTGCACAGGGAGGTGTCAGTAAGGCTGACCAGCCTTGGTCCTCACACACCCCTTATGGTGGGACAGCTGGCAACAGCACTCCTACTGATTTTTCCACCTACACCAAACCCATCAAATCAGTATCTCTTCTCAGTACAGTTTAGATTTCCCTCTTATGTTAGGAAATTATAGCTTTGGGCTCCATTTTTTTGTCAGTGTTGCCCTGATTGCACCATTACATCACAACTCGGTGCTCTTATGCTAAAAGGTGCCATGGTGCTGTCCTATGGTACATTTGTCAGTGTTCAGGAAAAGGAATTGTTTCTGTGCACCAAAAAGGAAATTGTGATTCTTCCTTTGTGTGAGGATATGATTCACAGATGGCATCTTTTATAAACACATCATGTCCTCCACCTAAAGGTGCTATGTGCTCCAAAAGAGCCAAATATATTAGCATTCTTTAACCATAACTTTTGAAGTCGACATTTGACTAGTTTTGCATTTCTTCTAGGTTGTAGTTAGACAACTCCTAATTCTATGGGGAAAGCAAAGACTATAAAATGCCAGAGCTTCACTCTGCTGAAATAACATTAGTGAAATATCAAGTCTTTTATGATGTCATGTGGGATTCCTTAATATGACTATAGCCTCCTAATGACATCATAAAAAACAACTGCAACATCAGAAAACAGCCAAGGGTCATCAATCAGCCCATCCTCTCTGCTACTCACCAGGGGCAGCAGCCCAGCTTGCTCCTATCTGCTTTTTATGAGCAGCGCTGTCCTCTGAATAGCACACAGAGAAGAGACTAATAATCATACAAATATCAGGGAGAGCGGTCAATCATCACCTGAAATATTCAGTACACCTGAGGGAAATTCGGGTGCTGCAGCCTGAAGAGTCTGCAAGTTTAGCATGTAGAAAAGACAACATTACTGCCTTAGAGGTGACCTGGCATTCTCTGGGCGACAGGCAACACAAGTTGGTAATTCAGACTTGTCTAAAATGTGGAGACAGTGGGGCTGAAAAATGAATTCTGTGGTTGCTCTCTTTATCCTTTGGCCACAAGCAAAAGCTTTTTCCCATGTTGCCCAGAACAACCATCTGCATGTTCCATAGTGCAGTGACCCCACTGAAAGAGTTTGCATCTTCCAGTTGAAGTGGGTGATGATCCAAATGAGATACAGTGACAGCCAAACACTCTGACAAGAAGGGAAACAGCCCCCTAACCTTTGAAAACACAATGCCTCTGAGTTAGAGCCTCATTATTCTCTTTTTGGAACACTTGGAAGTTTTCCAGGGTTAGGGATAACTCAAGGAGTTTCCAGACTATCATTAAAAGCCCCGTGTAATGAGACAGATACTGTGGGAAAGCAAAGACTATGAAATGCCAGATCTTCACTCTGCTGAAATAACATTAGTGAAATATCAAGTTCTTTATGATGTCATGAGGGATTCCTTGATATGACTGTAGCCTCCTGAGGCTAACCTGGGGGCAGCTGCTGTGACTTCCAGCCCTGCTCAGGATGTCCCACATGGCATTTTGTGCAGTGGGCAGCAGGCCACGCTGAGTCCCCCTTCTCAGCCCAAGGCACTCTCTGGTCAGAAGATCCTCAGCATGTGTCCCAGGAGCACATGGTCTCAGCTAACCACTGATCAAGGGCTAACTACTGATCAGCCAAGCCCCAGGAACCAGCTGATCCCTGATAATACATCTTATCACTTTATTTTTTCATGCCTTGCCATTTGCATCCTCATAGTTTAGCCTTGTAGGACCAATGCCGTTGCCATCCCACGAAGAGTGAGGAGGCCAAATACTTCCAGAACTGCTGCTGCACAGATTTTCTTCCCCAGGGTTTCTTTCAGTTTCTCTTTCTTTTGTTCCAAATAGCAGCCCTGTGCTGAATGTCAGACAGTTCATTAATTTAAGGACACCAGAGCTCGAGCAGATCATTTACAAGTCAGCATGAGGTACAGAGGAAAGGAGGAGACAGTGCTGCTGGCATCTTTGATAAGCAAGATATTAAATAATTTTAATCTCAGTGTAACTCTGCTATTTCCAGATTATATAATCCCACTCTTGAAAGAGGGTTATTTGAGCAGATTGTCACATTACATAGACACATTTACCACATAGGTTAATTGCAGTGGAAAGCTGTTAAGCAAATAAGCTTGTTTCGTCAAAATGTTATTCTTTTAGCAGGTCTGTTCCTTTCATGGGTCTCCAATTCACAAGCCATGCTCTTCTAGAATGCACATTTCAGTTTAAGGCAAAGAAATGTGTTCACTGAAGTGATCAATTTTTTTATCACGCTGACTTTTGTTCAAATTTTAAGGCGTGATGTGCACAGAAGGAAATTATTTTAAACAGGTTTATTTCTGTTGTAGGATATCAATAGAAAGGTTTGAATCTATATGTAGAGAAGGGCTAACAGTGTATTTTCTTAACAGATATTAGCATTAATAAATCCTGCTATGTACTGCCTGACACACCACACTCTAGTACTACCCATTTACTAAGTTGTCTTTATCACTTCAGGTAAAAAACAACTGTGCAGAATCTAAGCACAGATCATATTTATTGTTACTATTTCTTATGCAATGAAATCCCCTTAACTGCATGTTATTTTGGAATAAAATCTAGGGGGTTGATCATGTATATCTGAATCACTGAAAAGAGGAATATATATTATACTCTGCTTCTAAACTCACACATTTTAATTTCTTTAGTCAAGCGAAGGAGGGTGGAAAGGAGGAGAAGCCTATGCAAATTGGAATACACACAATCTTCTGACAATCACATAGTCTGCATCTTTCTGCTATGAAATCTAGTAACAGCTAGTTTGCTTTACATGCAAGGTAGGAGCATCAGTGGTGGAAATAGAGAGCAGATTGGAAATGGATTGGTTCTGAAGTGGTCATTGGTCTCTCTTGCTTCAGAGAGGCAAAGGATATCAGCTTTACACATACAAAGCAAAACACTAATTTAATGTTTCCAAGCCAAAAGACATTGTGGCGTAGCTGGTGGCAATTTTCAAGGGGAAAAGGAAGTGCTTCGAATAATCCCTGATTTTTGAAAAGACAAATCTGATCTTCCTAAGCCAAAATTTTCACATTGAAACTCATGCCCAAATTTAAAAAATAAATGCGGAATGTGACCAAACACTGATGCCCTAGGATTCTTCAGGGGTTCAGGAAAAATTCAGAGGTGTAGGTATGTGCAGCACACATCCAGACATGGGAGAATTGATGTGGCATTTTTAGCTGTAACAGCTGCCAAAGCACCCTCAATCCACATTCACCAAAGCATTGTTCCACCTGTCCCCTCAGCAAAACTCTGTTTTTTGGTAAACTCATGCATCCATGTCATTTCATTTGCTTATCAGGATCTCAGTTACACTCATGCAGTACTGCCAACTATATCCTGAAGGCACAGGAGTGCTTGAGGTATTACTGCAATTGCAATTTCCAGAAAAAAAAAAAAAAAAAAACAAAACTGATAATGCATAAAATATCAAATGTAATTCAGTCTTTCCAAGAGTGGCCAGGAAAACCATTCTGACAACAGTAACCATTCCACTAATGTCAGCAGCCCTCTCATGGAGAGGAAGAACTAAGTGAGGCCAGGTCAAATTCACATGATTATTTTTCAGAGCAGAAACACATTTTAAAAAAGCATATGCAAGCAGTTATAATTTCTCCTTTTGACCATTTCCCTGTATTAACAATGTACATTTCCACTTCATGTAAAAGTCAAGATAAACTGAATATAAAGAAACTACCCAAAGCAATCTCCTTTCACTAGCAATCTGCAGGAAAATGTTTTCTTTAAGTGCCTTTAAATGAACCACATTGAGAAAATAAAGAACATTATCATCTGCAAAAGCTGTGTGCCTGCTAGCCATACTCTGCTTGAGTACAGTATTCATAAAAGGGAAGCATAAAACCCCCTAAACAGCTTTAGGGAGTGCTGGAGCCAAGGCTGAGAGAATAAAAACAGGCTGAACTTGCAGGTGAGGAAGACAGAGCCTCAGGAAGACACATGAGCTTCAAAAACTCAGCAAGGCATCTTAACAGGACAGCACTGTATAGGTGACCTGTGTGATATCAGACCAGGATGAAGTGAACTCAGTTCTGTTCAGCGAGTCTCTCTGTAGCTGGTCTTGTCTTAGTTAAAATCTTATATAAAATTTAACAGCCTAAATGGCTAATTCCACTGACACATCATGAGGAAGGCTGTGAGATTGTTACCCCTACTGAGCACTGTCTGCCTCAGGCTACAGAGCTTCCTCTAAGCTCATCTCACAGCTCCAGGTCTGGCCTTTCCGTTAGTCATGGATTGGGCTATGCTCCCTTGGTGTCCTGCAGAATAACCTTAACCAGTCTGGTCAGAGTTGGTCGTGCTTTGGGGTTAAACTAAATGCATCTAGAGGTCTCTTCCAGTCAGAATTATCCTGTTTTTCGGTGATTCCCAGCTGGTTGAACACAGATGTTGCAGAAAAAGGGATGGACCAATTTGTCATGTTAAGCTGTTACTTGCTCAAGGAGAAGTTTCCTTATAAACAAAGCTAATTATCAACTTATAATGATAATAAGTTATATTATCAACTTATATTGATAATAAGTGCTCAGATAATGTATTTATTACAAATTGGAAAGGACTCATTACAACTGCATAAGTAGAAGGAAGCTAGGAAGAATCTTAACACTAATCAATCCTCTAAAATCCCGCTAACAATTCTAGAGTTTACCAGAGTTCATCAGAAGGTGAAGAGATACCTGAAAAACAAAAGAATGTGAATAAGGGATAATGCATCTACAGATAAGGAAAAAACCCACAATGCTAAAATGTGGTAGAGTATGAGAACATGAATTCCTGGTGAGAAATACATTTTTGTTTATAGGAATAATATGTTGCAAAATCTTCTGTATTCTTCAGAACTTGTTTCCAGAGCAGCATGTGAGGCTCAGGATCATTAAAAGTTTCTGCCAGCACTGGAACATCTCCTGTTGAGGCACAAAATATAAATTGGTGTGTGACAGGAGGAGAGGCAGCAGGGAGTGAAACAGGCTGCTGGGTGTTTGAGGCTCATAGGTCCTGCAGCTTCTTTTCTCTGTTCTTGACATGTACCAACTTTCTAAGATTTTTTTTTCCTGTGACTTCTTGTTAAGTTAAGCTGTTATTTGTTTTCAGAATTAAAGGAAAACTGAATGACAGAACCACAAAATATTTTATGTTCTTGTGCATACACAGGAGTGAAGAGGGTGCCAAGTCTTTTCATGCACCAGGTAAGCAGAACTAAGGCTGGGCTGTGACTTCCCTCCAAAATCTCACTTGCACAAGCCCTGCCAGCTGCTTCTGCTCTGCAAAAGGCACAATGCTCCTCCACTACAGGAAAGATCAGAGAAACACAGCTGTATATGGTTAGCCAGGATTTAAGGTCTACAAATATGTGTAAGACAAGTATGCATTTTGGGGATTTTTTTTCTCTCTGCTGCCACAAAAGGTTATTGCTGACAGCTCTATATAAGAAATTATAGTATGTGTAAGGACACCACATGAAATTGCATTACAGCTATGATGGCAATAAAAGCAACCCTTTTTTTTTTTTTTTTTTTGATGGAACCCATTACACGGGGTTTCAAGTAATCTTAAAAATTATTGGCAGTTTTAGGTTTTCCTATTACTCGAACTGGTAGAAATCTAACCAAACTAAAGAAATAAATGTGACAAGCAATCATGGAAGTCTGTTCTGAGAGGGACATTTGGATGGTTCTTGTGATGCATATTCATGCACCCAAACCCTTTAGTTCGGCTTCTATGGTAGGTGAAAAAATAGGACATTTGATTAGTGCTGCCGTCCTTGCTTTCTACTAAGTCAGATCCTCATGTGACTGAATTATAGGATCAAGAGATAACATTCCCTACAGCTCTGTTGAGAATGTCTTCTCCTTGGAAGAACTTCCACTAGAAAGAGAAGTGTGTATTGTGGGTCAAGAGAAAGTCTGTCTGGATGAGCAGCATTCTGTTTCCAGCTCACAGAACTGTTTTCTGTAATCTTGAGTGAGACACTTATCACCAGGTGTCTCAGCTTCCCACCCCTGCTCTTTGTCAAGCTCTCACTTTGGGCAAATACAGCACCCACTTGACTTCACCTGAAGGCATTACTGTAACAGAAAATAAATATTAATAACAATTAATAGTGCTTGGACATACAAGGCTAACTGTGGCCTGCTTCTGGCTGTTGGGAACAAGTTGCAGATTTGCCCACAGGAGCTGTAGCTGTGTAAAACTGCCATAAGCACCACACACATTTATCAACAACACAGTCATGCAGCAGCAACCTCATCCCTTTTCCACACTGGCAACTCTTGTCCCAGGTTTGCAAGCTGATTGATCTTCATGCACATTGTTTTGTGTGTTTAAAAAACGGCATACACTCTGGTATAAAAGCTCTATGTTAAACATATTGGTTTACATCAAACAAAAACCTCTGAATTCATGCCAAATATAAAGTTGAAATTTTTAATGGAAATATTAATAGTTTGTGCACACAAGTAAGGGCTAAGGACATTTGCCTTTTATTTGTGTCAGTAATCAGTATTCACTCTATGCAAATGGCAAAACCCTGATAAACCTTTATTTGATTATTAGTGAATCGAGATCAAATACAGGCATCTTTTTCAAGGGAGTATATAAAATTGTTGATATTGTCTGCCCTTTTCTCCCTATAAACATTTGTCAATTCACTTGCCGTCTGCTGCTCTGTGTATACACATGCCCAAGCTAATGTTAGCTGAGGTTGCAATATAGCTATGTTAAATAATTTTATCTGATTTGCTGGATGATGGTATTTCTAATGGAAAACAACATGGTAATTTCAGAATGTTACTGATTAGATGAAAATGATATTGCATCAAAGTTACTTCCTTAATTTATTCTGAAAAAAACAAGAAGGATTTCTCTATTAAGATGCTTAATTAAAATCTATCTCTCTCCATACCAAATCTTTACTCCAGGTCCTGTATGTGATGTCTGAAAAGAACAAAGACTGATTAGCATCTTTTACACTCTGCTTTTCTTTTCGTCACTTAGACCTTCATTACAGCCAATTCTAGTCAGGTTTAGAAGGTCTGAGAGAAAGGGTAAATCTGGCACCTTTACAAGGAAGAAGACCCACCAGGGAGGCCTCTTCAGCTAGCACAGCCTGATCCTTCCCCTGTTCTCAAAGATCATAACTTAAGGGTTTGATTCTCTTAGTCTTGAATCTATAAAAATCATATTTCTATAAGCTCTTTTATTGTTACCCACGAGTCAATAGTGTCATTTTCATTCATATCATTCTGTAGAGAAGTGAGAGGAAGTGCACCAGACAGAACAGAGCTATAAATAAGATTCAGCTACCCTGTTCCAACTGCAGATTCAACAGCATTCTTTTAAAAACCATAAAAGCACAGCTTGGGAATTATGGGAAGTTTTCTACTTTCTGGAGTTCTGAGAGTAGCTTTCTGGAGGTGGCCACCCTTTACTACTGACTTTAGTGAACAAAATATGCTTTTGCTTGAAACTAGCTCCGTGGGTTCAAACAACAGATCAGAACACGTTACCTCATGATTATGAGCAAAGGAACTCAAGAAGCACAGCATTCTTATCAAAAGATTCCACTTCGAATTTCTTCTTACTATGAAAAGTCTTCAGGTAAAAGATTAAAATCTCACAGAAAATTGATTACCATTGTTTTCTTCTAGGCTTGCTGTGCAACATGAAGGATTGCTTGCATTACAACAAGATAATGCAGTGCAATAGTGGTTCCTTTATGGGTGGAATGCTGAAAAAATACACATAGGAAGTCCCCAGGCTGTTTTGATGGACTGACAGAATTCTGCAAATACCAGCTTTATGTAAATCTTTTGGAACAAAACCGGCCAACTGGTGCTCTGTCAGAGACACGTGGGCAGCAGCTTTTATCCATGTCTGCAGCAGCCTAACAATGTCACCCAAACTCAGCCACTCTGCAGTGGAGGGGAGGTGCTTCTGCCTCCAAATAAAACATTCAGGATGGGAGTACCAAATCCTGATTTTTATATATTTTTTTCTTTTTTTGTTTTCTCTATTTTCTCCATAATATCTTCTGTATTCTTCTTAGCACATTATGCTGGGAATAATCTGAAAAACATGCTTATGTTGTACAAAGATCATCTGAGAAACAACCTCTTCAAGTCCCCAAGGAGCAGGCACCCTTTTGAATAAATCTGATCTTGAGCAAACAAGCAATTTGCAATTTTAAATGTTTGCAGAATTCTCTTTCTGTGCTTGTTTGGGAATTTAAAAGAAACCTGTTCATGCTTTTTTTCTGCAGCAGTGAGAAGATGTGAAGTCTGGGAGCAAGGAATTTGTTTCTTAGGGAATGGGTATGGCTTAAAATCAACTACTGGTAATTTAATAGCTTTCACTGAATTTTTCAGCCCTAGTAGCTGCTTTTGCTAAGGCTTGTAGTCAGAACAATACTCTAACCCACCTCCTTACTGCTCATAACTCTGCTCTGGAGCCTTTCGTTATTTGGCAGAGAATGGGATGAATGATAAACAAACTAAATGACTTTTGGGGGCCAAGGAGGAGGAGGAGACAATGGAAAAGTGCTGAGAAGCCTTGATTTTAGGGGAAGAAGTAATTTGAAAAATTATGAATAGGCTTGAAGAAAAACATGTGAAGCTGAACAGAGTTTTGTTCAGTTTTGCTAAATATGGTATTTGGTATGAAAAAGCTTTTCACAAACAAGGCAAGGCACAGATGCTTAGATGAGACTGTCTCACTTCAGCAGCATGAATCCATGAGCTACCATACACAAATAGCCAAATGGCCTCTTTTGCAAGATTTACAGGCACCACACAGGTACTCAGTCAGAAAACTTCCTAGGGCAGGTTTTCTGACTTCCTCAAGACAATTATTTGAAATAATATGAGATGATAAATGCAAATATATTTCAGTGCAATGCCACAAAGCTCCCCAAAACACTGTCACTTTCATTATCCAAACAGCCTGTGAGGACACTATGAGGACATAAAAAGACACTGATTTTTTAGGGGGTTTAAAACCTGAAATGAGACCTTGGAACAGAAACAAACAGAAAAAAAACCCTGACCCAACAACCGAAGGACATCACAGTTCCAGGGTATACCAAAAGTGAAAGCACACGGCAGAAATGCTACGAGCTGCATCTCAATTTTATTTCTCTTAAGGGTCCCTGACCAAGTCGAAAGTATTGCTGCAATTGTGAGGCAGCTTTCTGTGATTAGAAGACCAATGCCTGATTTGACCAGAGAGAGAATATGATTCCAAGCATGAACCTTGTCTGTACATGGCTCCCAGCTACACAGCACTGCTACTGAAAGTAACCTTTTCCTTGCCAGGGATTATAGGCAATCTCTTTTCTGTGGACATTATGTACAGAGACTTTGCATGCTACTGAAAGAAGAAATGTGAAGCCTTCTGGATAGCATTTGTTCACGAAGAGTTACACTTCTTATCAGCTCCATTCACTGTTGGAGTTTTACTTTCTTATTGAGCATGCAGACTCAGAATTCCTGCAATAAATAATTGTGCTTTTTTGCAGCAATAATGATTTCTTTACAGCATACTGTGTTTTGACTAACTTTGGGGAGTATTTATGACTGTGTTATAAATCAAGACAACGCTTTTGATGCATTTTTCCTAGTGTCTTTGTACAAGTATTCAAAAGAGTAAATGTTTGTGAAAAAAGGAAAACAAAAAGCATCTTTTATTGGCCAGGCTAGCCATCATTTGGTTCTTGATTACCAACTAATTGCCCCTCACTGGAGATGCAAACAATATTCTCAAAGATTTTTGAGGGGTATTTAAGTGGTGCCAGTGAAAATGTTTTGAAGACAATCTGCGAGCAGAGATTCTTTGTGCTGTTTGCTCCCTGTGTGTATACACACATGAACAGAGGAAAACTCTCTATATCCCAAACATTTCCATTTAAGAGAGCACAGTCTCTTTGCACTGTGTTACTTGCACTTCTGAATGTGGAGGGCTGGTATAAGAAGAAACAGAGAACACTGCTTCTAAAACCCTTTTCTGATTTTTGAGTAAAAATTGATTCCTATATTAACTTGAGCACATACTATCAGTGCATAATGGTAGAAAGTATCCTCTGTAAAACCAGAAATCCTTCAGCATCTGTGCATGACCTTTAACATGTAGATTTTCTGGAAAACAGAATAATTCCAGTTGGACAGGACCTGCAAGAATCACCTAGTCCAGCTGTTATCCAGGTTGATAACAGAGTAAAAGGAGAGTGGTAGAATCAACAGACACTCAGGGCTTGCAGCTGCCACCTCGTGGTAATTCTCACCCATATTCTAGAGCTACACAAGCCCCAAACATCCTCCGAAAACTTGAATGTGAAAAGGCAACAACATTTCTTGGCATCCTCTCCTAGAAACACCAAGGAGCCAAAATAAGCATGTAATTTACACAAAACCTGGTGCTGCTTTCTGCTTTAAAGGAACCCTCTTGTTGCATCTTGTCCTTTTATACATAACAGCAGTTGATGATGACATCCTAGTGACATTTCAGAAAGGAGCTCTTAAAAGCTGTGAAAATATGAAATATAGGGACTAAAAGTAGTGAAGCAGACTGAGGAATTGTTAAAAGGGGCTCTGTCCTGATATTTGTGTCAGCAGCCACGACAGCAATATCAGGAAAAGTGTAGAAGTGGCCACCCCAAGCTGAACACACAAACCACCCATGAGTGCATGTGTGGCAGAGACTAACAGCACACACACAGGAGAAACTGCAATAATCACCAAAATACTGCTTCTCCTAGACACCTTCTGACCTCTCTCCTTCAGAAACTTCTCCATTTGTTTCTGCAAATATATGGGCTTGGAACTGAGAGGGAGCAGAGGGATAGGTCCCACTTGGTGTCAGCTAGCACAATTCCATGGGCTCACTGGAGGCACAAGGGTCTGCAGCAGGTAACAAAAAGCAAATGGTTTTTGTGTGTTCCACAAAAAGCATTTGCACTTTGGCTGTTCAAAAAATATCAATATCTGGGGAACCATATAAAGTTAGGTATGTATTCACCCAAGATTTCCCCTACTGTCTTGCTATTCTGTATCTCAAAGGGAATTCACAAGAGTTGCTCAAATGATAAAAAAAAAAAAGACAGCTATTGACACTTTCTTATATTTTGAAAATGCAGCATTGAGGACTTTTTTGCGATACTTTTACCAATAGTTTTTGGGGCATATGAATTTGAGTTTGCACATGGACTTAATCACACTGCTGCTCATTTTGCCTTCTAGAACCTCAGGTAATTGGCACCACAAGGCAACCCTTTACAATGTAATACCTTATGCTGGGCCACCATACTGTGAGACCACAGAGTTGATAGCTCACCTCCCAGGAGCTGACAGACTACACTGAAAATTGAAGGGGGGAAAAAATAGAAGGAAGGAAAGAAGGAGCGGGAGGGAGACAGAGAAATACATTTTTAAAGATAACCTGGAGGCAAATATAATATTTATACTTATTTATCCTCACAGCACAATCATAAGCCCCAAAACATGTCTAATGAGATGGAATTGCAAAATGGCCATGAGTTCTACTTGCTTGGCTTCTCAGTGGTCTCTTAGCAGTCACATGGATCTATATTTTTCAACTATGTGACTGCTGCAGGCAAAACTCCTATAAGTAAGAGTGAGAGTCACAGCAAGTCCTTAACTCTCAGTGGTATTCATGCACAAAAAATGCCAACCTAGGAAAAATGAATAGACAGGAAAAAAAAAGAAAGCAGGGGCAATTAAGCACTGCAGACATCTGTACTTAACACTTGTTTCACACTTGCAGGGTGTCCTCTGCTCCAATGAACTTCCATTGCCTCAAATCTTTGAATGGCCTTGACTCTTCAAGCCTCGATAAAGAATGAGAAATATGAAAGAAACCAACAAACCATTAAGGTTGGAAAAGATGTCCAAGACCATCGAATACCACCTTTAACTGAACACCACCATGTCAATTAAATCCTAGCACAAAGTGCCACATCCTGTCATTTCTTGAACCCTTCCAGGGGTGGGGACTCCACCATCTCCTTGGGCAGCCCCTTCCAATGTCTGTCACCTCATTCTGAAAAATGTTATGTCTTTCATCTGTCATTTAACATATTCTAGTTTTATTTCAAGCTCTTTTGGAAGGTATCTAATACTTCCTAAAACATTGGGATTCTTCTACTAATGTAATTTAACTTGCACATTAAAACTAGCTGACTTAGAACCACTAGAGGTTTTAAGGTGACCGGGTTAACCATCTTATTTCCAGAAGATCCTTCAGATTCTCAATGTGCAGAAATTATTTCCTTCTGTCTGAATGTTTTGATTCATATAATCATAGGATAGAGTGGGTTGGAAGGGGCATTTCAAGTTCAGCTAATCCAACCCCTCAGAGCTGAGTGAGGACCTCTTCAACACAATGAGGTTGTTTAGAGCCCCAACCTGATCTCATCCAACCCATCCAAACCAGCCTTGAATGTTTTCAGGGACAGAAACATTCTCACCTATTGTTAAATGGGTTCCAGACAGGTTTTATTTGCCAATTCAGATGCTCCCTGCACAGGTACCACCCAGCTGGTCAGGTGATGGGTGCATTCCCCAGACAAAATTTCAAATGAGAAAGCAGAGTCAGAAATCACTTATAGTCCCCAAAACTCACACTTTTCAGGCTGAAATTAGAAGTGTGAGAGAAAAAAACTAAACCAGCTGGAGAAGTTAATGACATTTTTAGCTGTTACTTTTTGAATAGCATCAGAAGTGATTATGATGCCTGATCCTGCCATGACATCTGAGAAGTCTCAAGAGACAACAGTTCTGAGAAACTCTCAGAGCCCTGAACACCTTCAATTCCAGCTGAGAATTCCCCAGGTGCTAGGCACCAGTGCATGCTGCAGCAGAACTTGCCTCCAGCTCTGCACTAAAGGGTTTATGTGACTTTTCCTCATTGCATTGCAATCTTTTGTGCAGGTTCAGTTATATATGTACAAAAAAATTAATACCTACTAAAGGATGCAGAAGACATTGTGAAGCTACTTTATAAAGTATTATATTAATTACTTATTTGTATTTATTAGGAGTAGAC